AAAAAAAAAAAAAAAGAGCAGAACAACAGCTGTTTACTTTGGAAAGTTCAATAACATCCAATCAACTTCTGTCCCTCTCCAAAAGAAAAGCTGTTTTTTAAAGAGCACCCTGAGCAGCACTTCTACCAAAATATTTCTTGTTAGTTAGCATTTTTTCTCAGTTGTTGGAAAATGTGCAAAACAAATATTGGAAAAAATGTAGCTTTCTTTTAACTCTAGACAGTATACGGACTTTTTTTTTGGTTGCTCATTTCTGTTTTAAGCACAACTCTGGAATACCGAGATGTCTCTGATTAGAATTCTGAAATAAAAAAGCAAACCCCAGTCAAACTGTAAAGAAATGAAGAAAACCAGAGATGAAGCAGTTATCTTCCCTGTCAGCATGCTAAGCAAATGATTCACCCTTGCTTTCCTGAAAATATTTTAGTGCAAGCAAGACGAGGTCTTTATGAACTGAGAAGTAAAGAAGGAACATGCTCCACCTACCAACCTCTGGAAATACCATGAAAGGGCTTCATACAGCAGCAGTACAGAATGTAATCCCATTTTCTTTGCAATATCTTCTCTATTCAGGCTCCATATTAGCTGTTACTTCCTTTTCGGGAAGTTTTATGAAGTCTTGTGTCTTTTTCTACTTGTTGAAATCTATTAACACACAACCACCTTGGGGACATTTCATCATCATAGCATGTATTCTATATACATACATGGAACATCTATCTTATGTCACCTCTTAAATGTCCTGGAACTACTATTTTTCCCCTTCAAACATTCCATCATAGCACACCACAGCTGTAGTTGATGAATGACAAAAAAATATATTATAGTACGTTGGCAGGTTTTCTTCTGTTCCAAAAAGTTGTCTACGCTGTAGTCCGGCCAGTGTGCCTCACATGATGTATCTGCCACTAGCCATGACTTCCCTGGGGGGTACCCTATCATCACTTCATTGGGCTGGTATGTGTCTAACGTGGGTTAGAGTCATTTGGCTGCATTCAGCACTAGCTTCATCATAATGCTTCCTGATGGCTTCTGAACAGACTGCAAGTACAGCTGGTGCCCCAAGATGAACTGACAAACTCATTCTACAGCAGAGAACAGACAGCAGCTCCTTTTCAACTCGAGCTTATCTCCCTTCTCTGCCCATCAAAGCACTGCAAGCTCTACAGAGCCGGCTTTGCCTCACTGCATCCTTACTAGGCGTCATTACCTCTATTATCACACTTTCACCTTCCACAATAAGACTAAAGGTGCTAGGATGGTACTGGTCTTGCAACTTCCCCTGCTCTTTCAGGTATCCTTTTGACCATGCTAATTCTCTTAACGTTCACAATAGCCTGTAAGTGCATCATATATGGATATATGGAAACATACTCAGTAACTGTTCTAAATCAAGGTACTGCCTTTATGCATCCTCATCCTCGAGCTGTCTACATTCCTCATGATTCAGTTTCTTCAATTCTAGACTCCTCCAGATGCCACATTCTCCACACCTTCAGTTTTTCTCAGCTTAGCTTGATATTCTGTTTTGTACTTGGACTTGTTACAACCTGGCAACGTTGAATTCTCCCTTATTTCAGGTCTTATTTCTGGTTTTTGTTTGTTTGTTTGTTTGTTTGAGGAATGCTTCCCAAAGTCCACAGCAAAGTATGTCAGGGAGGTTGATGCTTCTTTTCTGCGTTATTTCTTGACCCCAAAACTTACCACCATAAGTATGATCTGTGCCTTATAGAAATATTGAATAAGCATTACTTTTATGACTTTTTGCCCAATGCTTTTGATGTGTTATATTTTTTGAGGCCCTAGAAGACATTCCTAGGACAAATGTCAAAATATGATTATCATTTATTTTGACAATATTTTTATTAAAATAGATGATAGGTCAGAGACAATATTTTTGACCTTGCACTTTTTTGAGATCTGAGAGTGCACAATACTACACAGCAATCTGTCAAAATAATATTCGACCTATAACATGAAATCGAAATTGTTTGTACACTGAGTAATTTTTATCCTTTGTTTTAAAAACTAAGGCCGTGCATAATATTTGTCCAGAAGTGTAGCTGACAATGATAGCTATGGCTAATGAAAACAGCAAAGAGATGCTATTTTGTGGAAATTTGTCATTTTGATCTGACTGAATCATGTTTTGTTTTCAGTGCGAACTTTATGCTAAAAAGTTTTTTCTGCCACAAGTAAAATGGTTTAGATTATTTCAAGATCACTGTCACCTGGTTAGAAGATGCAGTTAAAAAAAAAAGTTTCAAACTGCACCTTATTATTATTTTTTTTCTGTTAACGTCCTTTTGCCTAATGCAGAATACATTGAATTTCTGGCAATTAGATATTAGCTCATTGACAGATTTATTTTTTTTTAATTTATCTTTTATTGCAAAATGTCAGTTGAAAATATCTGACGTAATTATAATCAAGTACTTGTTTTCAGGGTGCCCCAATAATTCAGCACAAACATGAAGGGAACTTGCCTACAATGTTTTTACAGAACAAGTTAAGGACCAAGATGATCACTACACATGACTTCCAAGACGCATTTTAAAATTTAAAAGCTATTTTTTAAAACAAGTTATTCTCATATTAATCCACATAAATGATTTTCATTTAATATAAAACCATCCAGTCTTCATCTGGAGATATTAAAAGATGTTTTTGTTGCCTCTCCTTTGCGAAAAATTAGCTGTTACAATATTAAGTTTTACCTACACGGATTGTCTAGCTTCATCTGCAAAATACATTAAATCCTCTCTAAGCTGATATTCGATAGTATGGAATCAGAGAACTTTCCATAAGCAAAGCAGGATCCAGAATCATTGAAGACCTAGACTAGCTTCTAGCCCCCAGCTGAAAGTCTGGGCAAATGACCCTATAAATCTCAAGGTGTTCATATTTTGAAAAAAGGAGAAAAAAATGCTGTATATCTACAGAAAATTGATATAGTTCAGTGGCTTAGGAAAAGTATATGGAAGATGTGATTCATGTGCGTATCAACCTGCGTGCCTATTTCTTTATTGTAAATAAGAAGAGGAAAACCCCATAAAGTGCCAGATTCCATATGGATAGGAAAAAAAAAAAAAAAACACACACACACAAAAAAAATTCAAATTTCTACTGGAGGCATTTATTATCATAGTTCTATATTCTTGCAAAAAGATTACAGCAACAATTCATTAAAACGCAAATTGAGGTTACATTTGGAATATTTTGAGCTTAACTGAGTTGCCAATAGGTTGTTGGTACTAATTAAGGTGTTCTAGGTGCCTACCTGACCTTCAGGTGCCATTCCAAAGGCTTCTCATAGGTTCTTTGTCACATCTGATAGCCTCCTGCATTGACACCATTTATTTATTTATTTAAAGTTTAGGTAGCAGAATATTCAATAATTATAAGTGGAGTTTACCATTGGACTTGTTATCAACTTATTTTGCTTGTACAACCAGATTTCATAAGTTAGTAAAAATTCTTTTCAGAATCCTTATAATTTGTAAGAGAAATAAGCACAAAATAATCACAGGAAATAGCGAGATAGAGATTTTACACATCTAAATGCAATCTCTAGTAATTCGGGTCTTTTCTCATGCTAATAATTCAATTGCTGAGATTTAGCAGCAGAAGACAATTGCATGTCACCAAGTGGTATAATACAAAATGAGAAACTTTTAATATCTGTGAGAAAAAATGATGTTATTAGCATTCATAGCAGAGCCTTTAATGTACCGTATTTCCATTACTTAAGAGTAGCATTTGTTTGATCTATTCAGAGCAATTCTGGATAGGGGAGTCTAATTCATGGACTCAATAACGTTATAGCATCTGAGACCAAGAGGAATATTGCTCCCTTTGCTGCTCACCACAGAACTTCTGGGTATAGGCTGCAAGGACATACTCATGTTTAATTATTATGAAAATGTCACATAAAAATGAGAAGGGAGTTAAATCACTGTACAAAGATTTAAACTGGAAGCCAGTCGGGTTTTAATAACACTCTGCATGTGAATTATGTTTCCAATAACACATAAATGTATTATGAAACTTTAGGCAACATAAAGCAGTTTCCTACGGCTTAACGTATTTGAAAAGAGAATGGCTGTATTTGTGGTAACAGAAATACCAATTATGAATCAAACACATAGTTTAATTCACTTTGTTATAGCTGTGGTTGTTAAGGTGTGTTTAAATACTTTCTCCTCAGTTTGTGAAAGTGGGGAGACGATGTTCATTCCCTCATATTTATGAGCGTATAATAAACCCCAGCTATTCACCGTAGTGCCACACACCCTCTCAGCTTGTCTCTTGTTTTGACAGTGCTCCAGAGGCCTTGCACCGCCCCCCTGCCACCCACCACGCAGAGATGTCCGTCCCCTCCATCTTAGGCCCTTTCCCCTTTGCCACAACACAGCCCCTCCAGACTTACCCAGTGTCTTCAAGGTTGCAGATGGTACAAGCAGCTACAGGACAGGGCAGAGATGCAGTTTCAAAGGAAATCAACACAGTTGGTGCTTGGTGTGGAGGTGTCTCTGCAGGGACCTCTGTGAGGGGAGGCCAGGGCCACGCAGGGCCTGACAGGACAGGACTGGGTCGAGCCAACTCCACAGCAGGCCCACGGCAGCCCAGCCCTAACGCTGGTGGTGCCTCTGTGATAATTTTTTGAAGAAAGGGCAAAACATCTCATGGCAGTGAGATGTGAGGGGAGAAAGTGTGAGAAACAGCTCTGTAGACAGCAAGGACAGAGGAGGAGGACAGGGAAGAGGTGCTCCCCGCGCTGCAGCTGGGGCTTCCTCCAGGCCTGTGAGGGGATCACAGCCGAGCGGCTGGTCCTGAGGGAGAGCAGCCTGCAGGGACAGCCCCTGGTGCAGCAGCAAAGGGGAGCTGCTAGGGACCCACCCCAGCTTCTGTTCCCCCTCTTCTGTATCACAGGGGACAGTAGAGTAGAGGAGGTGGTAGCAAACGAGGGAAGTTGTCTGAAAAAAAAATAATAATAAAAGTGGCAGCAAAGTATTTTTCTGTTTATTTTTTGTCTGTTTCTCACTATCCAAATATATTTCAACTGGTAACAAATTACATTTATTTTCCTCAACTTGAGTCTGTTTCACCTTTGAAGGTACTTGGCAAACAGTTTAATTGCTAGAAGATTTTTACTTCATAGAGATGGGTGCTTTATTCTATTAAAAAAGCCTCATCACAGTCCTGACTGCAGTGGAGCCATAACAGAGGCTGACAGCTCGTATTTGTCTTAACTGCCCCTTTCAGGACTTAAATAGCAGTCTTCAACTGCAGCCTACACCTGCTTTAGCTGGAAGTGAGTGAGAACATCCAAAATTTAGAGACAAACCCCTTTCAGCCTTAGGTCAACTGCCAAGCCATCATAACTCACTTCTATTCTGTTTCCAATGCCTCACCTCCGAAAGGGCAACCCTAATATTTCACATACATTTAATATTAACATGAAAGTTATTATCCATTCCAGCTTTAAGTTCTGTTTTTTATCTCTAAACTCAAATCAGCACCAAAACGAAACAAAAACAAAAAAAAAAAACATACAACTGGTAATATCAGTCCTTAACCCATGAGAGCTGCAGTTAAGTCAGCTGCTTCAAGAAGATCACAATAGTTTATTCACATTGTGCATAACTTAGAGTTTAAGATAAGTGGTTATCTTGTTATTACAGAACTTTAATGCAAATTAAAATCATTTAAAATCTCTCAGCTCATTACTATTTTCATCTGTCAATAAATCGCTGTATTGTATATGAGAGGAAATGGCTGGTATATCCTTTGTAACAATCTAACCCATGAGTAAACATCATTGTAACGGACATTGTTATTTCACATTATTCCTGCATACTAAACATTTAAAAATATATAAGTTACTTATGCTATAAGCAATATGCTGAAATACAAAGGGCAAATCATCCCCTTAATTAAGGCTTTAAAAAGACAGTATATTAGTTCTGTTCAGCCCTCTTTTTGCTGAAATAAGTGGTTACAGTTCACTTCCAGATCCTTGGCCATTTCCCTATTATACATTCAACTTCTACCTCACTAGCTCTGCATTGTTTCTAACAAACACCCTCCCCTTGAAAGAGCTTCATGTGTTTAAACAAACAGGAGTCCCATCAGCACCTCTCTCTGCTCACTCCCTTCTTGCTCTAGGTGTAATGGATCTTCCCAATTCCTGTAGTTCCGCGATTATGGGTAGAAAATGTAGGACTTGCTCCTAACTTTAACAGTGACACTCATCTTAGAAGGATTAAAAAAATAAAACCATGTGTTACTGTACACAGCAGGCTAACAAAACGAATGTGTATCAGCATAATAGAATGCACAATATTTTACAGTTTTGTTTGTGGATGAAGTTGTGCGAAGCCTACTAGTGTTAAACATTTTAAACGCAAAAACATCCCGACACAGAATATGAAGGAATAGTCTGGCTCCTGGCAGCTCGACACTTGCAGGAGAATCACATGTATTCCAGATACTTTACATTGCTTTCCCTCATGTCTGCAGCTCTAGTGAACAGATCCAGTTCATTCAGGCAAAGTGGACACACACGTCCTATCTCCCAGCTGTGGTACACTTGAAAAATACAAGTTTCGCAGTCCATATACGTGCAGGATAAAAATGCAGCTAGGCAGACAGGATAGAACCATAGGAAGGTCCCTCAGCAACATCCTCATTCAATCATTTTGCTTGCTAGAGTCACACTGGAGACACACAAGTGCTTGGGACTGTGGACCCAAAAAGGGACTGCAGAGGACTTCTAAATTTCAGAGGCACAAGACAGGGACACTTCTATACATCCAGAGTCAGCTAAATGAAACAAACATTTAAAAAAAAAAAAATCTTCTGACTTCATCTACATTATCTAATATACTCAACAGCAAGATCACTGCAACTCAACCATTTGTGTTGATGCCTCACAGAGGCCAGAAACGCATTCTCAGCTGCTTTTCCAGTTCTCTTTCTCATCAGCATCCGAACGGGTGTGTAGTGAATCCTGAGGAGGAAAAAAAATATGAGATATTCCTTGTTTGCCACTTCCTCTTGTTCCCCTTTACTCCTTACTCCAGCAGGAGGATTAAAGAATCCCACCCATCCCCCTTTTCCACCCATGTGGCCAGGAAGCATTATATAACCCCAACACTGCAGGAGATTTTGCTGCTGCGAGCTGTCCTGCTACGTTCCCCCTCCCTGCAGTTTCATTTCTCCTGCCATTACAAGTTTTAGTTTGAATGATTTTGCTTAAGTAAAATAAAGCATCACAGCCCAGACACGTATCATCATGATTACAGAAGGCACTCTGCTGGCACAGGATTTTTCTTTACCTGGGTTAGAAGATGATGACGTCTCAGTTGTCTATAAAACTGCAACACAGAAGGATCAGCTCTCACAACTTTGGGGTCAAAATCCAGAACACGGAGACCTGCAAGGCTACGGGCTCGGGAAAGGGCTACGTAAGCCTGCCCACTTTCAAAGACACGAGACAGGGAGATTTCCACACAATCTAGAGACATGCCCTACCAAAGACAGAGAGAAATCTGTTATACAACACACACAAAGACCACCACATTGCATCAATACTAACCTATCCTGTGAGTTTGTCAAAGGCTATACCATCCTCAGGGTACAAGCCTGATGAGAAAGGAGGTCCCTTGTTTGACTATATATTTAACTGATTAAAGGATGGGAAACAGTAAAAAGGACAGCTTTCTAATGTCAGTAAATTGCTATCAGACGGTAGGATCCACTAACTCTTACAACCCTGTTATTGTGTGAAATTCTATAAATCCTATAAACCCAACAAAGCAGGGAAAGAAGTCCCACAGTTTCCACTCCAAGTAATTAACTGGGGGAGCCATCATTCTCAAGCAGTCCATCTGAGAGAGGGTTTGGGTTAGTCCTGGCACACCGTGCCTGCATCAAGAGAAATCCCAGGAGACAGCAGAATTTACAACATGGCTTGGAAACAAGCTCATAAACTCCTCTCAATAAGAGATCTATCAGACTGTATGAAGTATTCCAGAGAGGTAGTAACTGTGAGAGTTGCATTAAAAAAAAAAAAAAGACATGCATCAAATGGACAATTTAGCCCAAATAGCACAGCTGTGACTACTGCAGCTTCCTTGGGTACACAAAGCAAACCTCAGGGTCATGAATGCTGATAACTAATAAGGAAACACAATCCTGACCAGCCCACAGCAGTTAAGTACTGATGATTTACAGTCCAACACCAAGTGTGTGGACAGCAGCACCATTATGGAAACTCTAGGATCAAAGACAGGCTAGCAATACTACTGACTACCAAACTAAGCTTATAGACAAGTATCATGAACAGAAGAGATACTGCCTTCCCTGCAACTGGAGACATATATATCCCAGAGCTTCCCCACAAGGGCCTTTCATTTTTCCTTCCCATTTTACCAGCAACACAAGCTCACCCAGGAGAGAAGGCATATAACAGTATACAAGCCTGTAGAGAGTTGTATAAGAACACCCACCTGACTCTTGTGAATGGAAATGGCCCATGCCAGTTTTAGGGGCAACTGCTGGCGACTCAGATGAACTCCAGATGGTCCTTTGAAGACCCACCTCTCCATTTTGATGATTTGTGTGACCCCGCAGAGAAACCTCACCTTGGGCAGCCCTGTAGGAATAGGAAAAAAAAAAAAAAAAAAAAGGGGGGACACTCAACAGCAGGAAGCCAGCAGCCTTAAGAGCTTTTTTTTTTTTTAACTTCTATCTCATAGCAGTCTTTCATGAGTTTTAGGGCTACATTAGAAAATGTCATAAAAAAAAAAAAAAGCCCACACATGTTAAGTAGGATGTCCTGAAATTAAATTTAGGGCTTACCTAAGCAAGAGAATTAAAAGTCAGATAATTTATCAGTTGAGATGCAGAGAAATACATGTTGCAGGTAACAGAACATTATTCTGATGAAAATGAAAACAACCAAGACTCGTTTCAACAGCACAGAAAGAAATACAAAATGAGCAAACGTAACCAGAGAATAAAGAGAAGCAAACATGGGAGGCCTTACAGATTAGGCTGCAGCTGATGCAGCAGATGACATGACAGCCCATGAGAACCACAAACCTCTTGCTGCAGAGATCTCTTCCCTGCTTTCCCTCAGATTATTCTTAAACAATAAAGAAAATTAACAAGTCATCTGTAGACCATTATTTTATTTTTTAAGAAAAAAATTTACTTTACCCTTCTGATCGCTTTCAAATCCCACAACTACTCCTCGTGCTCCATTCACCAGCCCTTGAGACACATCCAGATTCTTAGCTAGCATCACCTACAGGAGAAAAAAAAAATCCCTTTTTAGCCTTGTTTAGCCACCTCCAGCTAAGCTTCTAGCCTGAAAGCATAAACATGGCTATTGCAGAATAGAGCATAATCTCTGATTAAACTGAATTTATTGCACAGTCTTCCTTTCCTAGGATTCCCAGCTACATCATTCTGCAGCACTGAACACTTTTCCCTTGAGCTGCTTCTGTCCACAGCTGCAATGTCAGATCCAGGGAACAGATTTCCTCCTCCCAAACAACAACAAGCTTAGACATGTATAGTTTCTGGGAACAGCTGAGGAACACTTTCCAAAGGCCCCCAGTGGCGCTGCTTTAATGCAACCCATTCTGCTTTGACAGCCCCAGCACACAGCAAAGAGCCCTCCAAAGAGCCTTCACATTTGGCAATCTGTGTCTTGCTCTTACAGGTCTGGAAGGCTGCTATATCTGAAGCTGAGACTGCAGGCAAGGACTGCCTATACCCTCTGCTTCCTGGAAGCTTCTGTGCCTGATGGGAAATGTGTGTCAAAGTCCTAGTGCTCACCACTGTCCATGGGACAGGGATCTGAGCTCAAATCAACTTTCTGTTTGGATTCCAAGCAGAAAGGATACAAAGATTGGGCTAGTCTTCTGTTGGTATGGTTTTTCCATACATAATCTACATTGTATACATTAATCTACTGCATATATTTATCTGCTGTTTAGTTTTCTTACACCACATGATCTGCCAGACTTTCCCAAACAAGCATACGTACACACACTCACCTGAGCTCCAACCTTTAACGCAATTTTACTACCCACAGGACACTGAGCATCAATTAACTTCACGAGCATTGGGTCACTGTCCAAAGCCTCAAAAGTGTGCACTTCTCCTGTTAAGGAAAGAAAGAAGTCACAAATTACAGCCACTGGACATAAGCTATGTGGCGTTTGCAGGAGGCTCAGCTTTTATTTCTTACAGCGATTCCTCTTTTAATATCCATCCTCCCCTGCTGGTCTGACACTTTCACACAAGCTCTGTTACACACCCAACAGTGAAAAGCTCATTGGTACCTCTTCTCCCAGCACACCTCCCAGAGCACGAGAAAGCTCAGGAATTGAAGACCAGCAATTAAACTGGAATTGATCAGTTGCAATTTTGAGCATAGGACCAGTTTCACTTGCTGCCAACACCAGATCTCCAAAGAGGACTAAGGAGGAATCCTTGGGCCTGACAAAGAGGCAAAAATGAAATAGCCTGATAACTCAAGCAGCACTGGTTAGACCATGGCCTGAGATGCTACAGAAGGAAGAAGCAGAGGTGTGGAGACGCTAGTGACCCACCCTATCCCATTGCAAGCAATGGGTTCACTGTCTGTTGCACACTAAGAAGTAACAAGGTGAATTTAAAAGAAATTTGTGAAATTTCTCTCTAGGCAGCACAACTCCTACATGCACAGCTCAGACTAGCACTGCTGTGCGCGACAGAACACCGATTCCTCCTGTCACTGCAATATCCCCATTGCATCCCCTTAGAGCTCAGCCCTGAAGCCAGCAGCTTCCTGCACAAAGCTCACCTGATAACTGTTGCAAGCGTTTCTTATTAGTCAGTTCTACATCATCTTTGTGAGTGCAGAGCCGTGTAGCCAGGATCCCATCACGCTCAGACCTGTTAGTAGCTGTCTGCATCAGCAGACTGGTAACCTCCTCTGTGCACCTGGGGATCCAAAAAAAGGCGATCAGGAACACATCTTGAGCAACAGCAACTCCCACATAACTACATCAGGCTTTGCAAGCCCAAGCCTCTAGCAAGAAGGGTGGAAAGAGGTAACGACACAAAGTTGGAGAGCCACACAAGTGTGTGCCCCAATCCGTTCCCAGCCACTGGCAGCTTGATACCTATTGCATTCCCTAGCAAAAGTTGCAAAGAGGAACCCTAGAAATGGTCCTTCCTTACCATGGCAGCATACAGTAAACTGCCTTACCTTAACTAATGCCTTCATAGCTATTGCCCCCAGCCACACACCCCTGAGAGAACATGAGGAAGAGGTGACAAATGGCTCTTCCCTCTGCTCCATCGTCAGGGAACAGAAAGAGCTGAGTTTCTCCTCACCTGCCTAAACGGACTGCACTCAGGAGCGAGATAAACGTCTTATCGGTCTGTCTCCGCACTTCAGTGAGCTCCATGTTTATGTGGATGCATTTCCTCCAGCTTTTTGCCTGGCAAATCATTTTCTTGTTAAGAAAGGAAGGACAAAGTATGAGGGTGAGCTTACAGACAGCTTTCTACCTGGAAGCAGAACTTGATTTCTTCATTAGCCTTGCACACTGGGGGTAGCTGCAAGAAGTCCCCACAGATGATCAGCTGAATTCCTCCAAAAGGCTCATCCCGTTTCCTCACTGCTCTGAAAGGAAAGGAAGAGAAGGTCTGAATGCCTTCCAGGACGTGACCATAGTCAAGTCTTAAAAGTTTCTTCTCTGAAATTACTTCTCTGTCAGTATGTTCAAACAACCACATTAAAATATGGTTATCCTTGGCCGTGTCAGAACAGTTGAAATAATTAAGCAATGTTATTGCAGTACATTAATTTTTCTCTGCCTATCCACCCAAAATGTCATTGCCAGTCTTGCTTCTTCAGTAGCTGTTATACTACAGCTGCCTCCTGCTCCTCAATGTTCAGTATCAAGATGAGTTTATTGGTTCACAGTAAAGCTCCTGCACTGTGACATGGAGTCAGAAAGTTCTGGGAGCCTAAGCTGAAATCCAGTTTGGACTTGGGATAAACACAGCAAGCTCGGTCCAGGAAACAAGAAATAACTCCTAGGAGCAGAATAAATAGATAACTGTGTTCTAGACTCAGCTCTCTATAGACAGCATATCTCTCTGGAGATGGAAACTGCAACCAGAACAGCCACAGCTGGGAAGATGTGGACACAATCAAAACTTATCTCAAGCTAAAGGTCTGTCCTAATGCTGGTTATGATATCAGGCTTTCCTTTCATAAAAGGAACAACCAAAAAGTGTAGGAAAACTTAATTTTGTTAGTTGTTTGACCTGACAATGACTCACCTTGCTACCGCCTCTAGCTTGTCAAAGAAGTTGCCATCCACCATTGAGATCTCATCAATAATTAAGTGCTGGCAGGCCAGCCAGTGCTGGCGCACACCAGGTCTCTCTGCCAGCTGGATGCACTGCTCTAGCGGTGCCTTCCCGGAGCCGATCCCTGGCAGGGGAGAAGAAAGCAAGCTTGGGGAAGCTCCGAACTCCCTGGGAAGGGAGCGGGAGCCCTCAGCTCCTTGCTGCTTGGCCGACCATTACCTGCAAAGGCGTGCAGCGTCGTGCCGCCGATGTGGCAAGCTGCCACCCCGGTGCTGGCCGTGGCATAGGTGCTGTTGGGAGGGAGGGAACCCACGATCTTCTTCAGCAGGAACGACTTCCCGGTCCCTATGCAGAGCAAACCCCTTTCACCCCCTGCTCCCCCCGGGGGCTGCGCTGGCTCCCGGAGCAGGGCCGGCACCGCAGGGGTGCGGGAAGCGGCGGCAGCAGCGGCTCGGGGCCGAGGCTGCCCCCGGGGACGGCTCCCCCCATCGCTCACCCGCGCAGCCGGTGAAGAAGACGCCCTGCCCGCTGCGCACCGCGCCCAGCACCGCCTCCTGCTCCGCCGACAGCCTCGCCGGGGGCCGCCGCTGCGCTCGGGGCACCTGCGGGACGGCAGCACCGTGTGAAGGCGGCGGCGGCTCACCGGGACCGCCCCGCCCCGCGCCACCCCATCCCACCCCGGGGCCTCACCTCCGCCGGGCGCTGCCCCGGCTCCTCAGCGGCACCCCCCCGGGGGCTGCGCAGCGCGTCCCGCTCCCGCAGCGGGCTGATGATGGCGAAGGCGGGCGGCGGGCGGGCCAGCAGGCGGGGGCAGCGCGGGGCGCCCCGGGGCCCGGCGGCCAGCTTGTGCCGCAGCAGGCGCAGGAAGCGGCGCAGGGCGTCGGGCGGGCAGTCGGACAGCAGCAGCTGGGCGCCGCCCGGGCCGAGCCGCACCGCCGCCCGCCCCTCGCCGGCGAAGCGGGTGAAGAGCCGCACGGCGTCGCCGCTCAGCGGGAAGCTCAGCGCCGTGCCGGTACCGCCGAGCACCCGCAGCACCGGCTGCCGCAGCTCGTTGCGGCCCAGCAGCACCAGCGCGCCCCGCACCACGCGGCGCCGCGGGGCCGCCCCGCCCGGCAGCGGCTCCTCCACGGCCACGGTGCCCCGCAGCTCCGCCGCCGCCATCTCGCCGCTGCCGACCCCGTTCAAACCGGCCGCGTGGCGCCGCCGCCAATCAGCGCCGGGGGCTTTAACTCGGCGGCCAGTAGGAGGCGGGCGGGGGGCGGCCCCGCGTTGCGTCACGCGTTGCTAGGCAGCGGGACGCCGCGCGGAGCCAGAGCCATGGCGGCCCGCGGCGGGGCGAGGGAGCGGCCGGACGCGGTGCAGCTGGACCGGCTGCTGGGAGAGCGCGTGCGCAAGGAGCTGCGGGGCCTGCGGCTGCTCACCCAGTACGGCCTCAACCCGCTCCGACGCGGTGAGGCGGCCGGGTCCTCAGCGTGGAACATTTGCAGGGATAGATACCTGGCTGTGATGCTAAACGCGCGTTAAAGCCATTCATTTCTTCTTCTTTTCATTAATTTCTTAATTTCTTTTTCAGTTCACACGGTCACCAAGAAGCCTATGTCGTGGCACGACAACATAGAAGAGCCTGCAGATGGTAAGGAAGCTCTGAACCTCTTCCGATAGCTAAGAGAAAACAACCACCTGCCTCCCACCCTGGCTGCCTTGCTGGTGTTTGGATGGGGTTGAGACATCCCCCTCTGGCATACAGCCCCACGCCTGATTTGTATTTTGTCAGGTTTTAAACATACTACCTCCCTTTCCTTTGTATTTATGTCTCTTAAACCAACAGAAAAGTTTCTGAATGTTATTCACCATGCTGCCCTGGAGCCAACAAAGAAATATTCAGAGCCACAAACTGAAAGCCAGGAAATAGGCTGGAACACAACTCCTTTGGTGAGTAGAGTGCTTAAGGATTCAGCTCTTTGCATAAGTGGTGGGAAGTGAGTTTATTTAGCCAGGATTCCTAACACTGTTTCAAAAACAAAATTCTCCTTTTTCACCAGGTTCACTATATAGTGAACAGTATATACTAAGTGGTACTTTACTCATTAGCATTTTTTAGCATATCACTCTTCTCAGGAGGGACTACTACTCATTCCAGAAAGGCACGTGACTCTTCAGCCTGTAATTGTTTTCCAGATTGACGTAGACCGCACCGATCGCAGACTCTACTTCCCACGTCGGAAAACAGAGATCACTAAACTAGGCAGCTGCCGTGTGGCACCTTGAAGGAACAGAATGAGAAGTTGCAGCAGGAGAATGGCAAAGCCACACAACGTAGACTGAGGCAGTTAATGACGTATAATGTATTAGACTCTGTTTGTTATTAAGTGAATGTGGTAGATTTCTGGCACCAGAAGACTGCAAGAAAATGGAGGAGAGAACCCATCTGTCCAGATTTGCAGCCTAACAATAGTTATAGAAATAAACCTATTAATAAGACTTTTGCATTTGTCTTGCTGCTGTTTCCAAGACCATCTACACAAGTAGTTTAAGAAAACCCTTCAACTTCTTGACAGGCTTCAGACTTCTCATTTTGACATGAGCAACTTGACCCAGAATTCAAGTTCACAAAGTACGTATCAACAGCAGCTGTTGAAAAAGCTGTCAGGATGAGGGGAACACAGCGGATTTCAGCTGCCATTCACAACAACTAAATATGAATTAGACATAGGAGTTCGGTGTAAACTATTTAATACGTTCACACACCAAAGGTTTACGTAGCAAGCAATCATTCAGCAGAACAGACACTAAGAAATTAGTGATAAGGCACTAGTTTCCACTGACTTTTTTCTTGCCACTTGGAAGCATCCAGCTTGCTCCATAGTTAGCTGCCTGGAAACACCAGAACCACCTTCCAACACACAGAGATGAAAGAGCCCCACTGGGGAGCACAATCCTCTTAGCGTGCTCGGCTCTTCATTTTCTGCCGTGCTCTCTTGCCAGGTCTCTTCTGCAAAAAGAGGATAAATTCAGATTTTTATTTTGACGTCTTAACTTCATTCTAGCTCTATAGCGTGAGGAAGATACTAAAGAGAAATTGTGTGGCAGTACCTTGGGTGAAGAAGGTTTGGGGACACAGGCAGCAACAAACAATACATGCTAATTCCCCACTTATTTCCCTGCTCAGACACTAAACCACCACCGTCAGTCCTGTCTGCAACTGAATTGTTACTTCCAGATGCTGGAGACACTGATCTCAGGTCTCCCTCCAAGGCAACGGCTGGCTTCCTAACAAAAAAGGATCGCTTGCACACAACATCGTACTTACATTGATGGCTTTTTTTCCTCCTTTTCCTGGGCCTTTATTGTGAGCGACTTTTGACTTGAAGCTGGATACATCGTTAAAGCTGTCCTTTGTGTTCCACTTTGAGCCCTTTTTCTTCCCACCAAAACCAAACTTCTGATTTTTGTATCGTCTTTTGGCATTTGGTCTGAAAAACAATCCAGCAACATCACTGCTTAGAAACCTTGCCTTACGAAGTACCTGAGAAGGAAGTACATGTATCTGCCGAGGGACTCCAACAGCCATTGTAAACCTTTCCTCTTATTGAAGAGGCAGAAATTAGCACCTTTCAGCCTCCACTCTATTGGGCCACAGTTATCTCTAAGGACAGAAAGACACCTGGACATACTTTTCACCAATATTAATTCAAACAGCTTTCTTGCCTCGCAAATGAAAAAAAAAAAAAAGATTCTGACGTTAAATATCTTTCTTTTTTGATCTCACCCTTTCTTTGTCCGTTGATTTGCACCACCTTTTTTATTCCCCTTAGATGAAGTCTGCTCTTCATCTAGAAAATCCAGCTTGTCAGAGAGACCTGCAAGAGCAAAGGCAAATGCTCAGCTACCATCACAGAAGATGAGTTTTCAGTCCAAGCAATAGCAACAAGTCACCCTCACTGAAGACCAGCTACTTGGAAGGATTTTCACTGCCACAGGCATACGATTCCATGCAGAAGCAGCCTTTCAAGCTAACTCCCCAGCAGTAGAGGTTGACACCACACATCACAGTACCATACATTCCTCATGCATTTACACTATTTCCATTACACATTTACTCCCTTAGACAAGTTAACTGTACCTTTCTGGTATTTCTTGACTGCGTTCAACATATTTTTCTTCTCCTTTTGCCTCCTCTGGAGAATTTCTATTTGTACCTGAGAACGTTAGAAGACAAAATGTTAGCGTTGTTTCTTCTAGTGCCCTATACTTTTATTTTTTAAAGGTATCCCATGTTTTGCTTTGTCTCCTGTCAAAGTATCTATACAAAAGACTGTCTAGAGAGATTCCATATGTTTTAGCCTGCCTCTTGGGACCTCACTTTCTAAGCTCCTCCTCACCTTCTTTCCATATTTTCTCATTGCACGGAGCTGTTTTGCTTTTTCAGACTTCTCCATTGCTTCCTGTTTGCTCTTAAGCTTCTGACGAATCTGGGGGAAAATAAACAAACAAACAAAACTGATCAGTAATGCAAAAGTAATGCTGTGCAGTCCTGAAATCAATAATCATGTGAACATCACCGAATACCAAAATACCTCTCAGTCAGACAGTATGTAATTTATCTCCAAAGTTACTCACTGGCTACCTCTTTGATACAGTATTATTTTTCTCTGGTATATGCACTGATTATAAGACATAACTTACTTTCAATTCAAGGCTGGGAGTTACTACAAAAAAAAATCCTGATCTGTAGCCAAAACCTTATTCAGAAGACAAAATTCACACAGACAAAACAAATGCTGATACAAATGGGCTCTACTGGAATAGCAAAACAAGGGTATCTTGTCACATACTGTCAATATACTTGGGTGCATAGAGAAGACTTGATAGTTTCTTTCTTGCCATTATTTAAAAAAAAAAAAAAAAAAGCTCTATAGAAGAGTCAAAAATCCTTTCATGCAACAGAAAACTGATTTTCTATTCATTCCTTGTACACAAACATTTCTCTAAGGAATTTCTTTTACAAGGGATTACAAAGATTCCAACACAGATCTTCTGAGGCTGTCACTGCAGTAGGAGATAAAAGCCTCTGTTCTTCAAACAGCAGCCAGCAAAAGAAAGTAACCCTAATGTGTAGAGTGGAGTTAAACCTCAGCACAAACTATTAATGATTATCTTCTCTAAGAAGATCCTATCAGCATCAGAACAATGACCACATATGAACTCCAGCTCATGTTTCACTTATATTATGTAGATTCTTCCAAGAATGAGGGCTCCATTTTGAACAAAGACCACAATCAACAAGCAACTTTATAAAACCATCATTTCCAACACAAATCTGACTTACTATCCATGACAGTTTAATTCAATACCACACAGTTTAAAATCAGAGACCAAATATGCCGAGTATAAATGAAGGGTGACACTTAAATTTGGAAAAAGGATCACATTAATGCCCCTGTTCACTGCAAGTTTTAGGACAGACAGTACAAACACAGCCAACTTCACGACCGCTGTCACATATATGGAGAAGAAATCTCCATTTTTAATATTAATTACATTCAGGACAGAATATAAATCACACTCTTCTACTCTACATTCCAGCCTGTTATGGAAACCCCTACATTGCACAGAAATACCTAAGCAGGAAGACATTTCCTACCATTAAAAAAAAATACCAGACTTGAACATTGTCACAGATCTTTGTCAAAGAGGTGAAGGTTAACTATTGACAAACCACACAGTTAATACATAAAGTAGGCTAAAATCCACACACAGCACGGGAAAAAAAGCTATTTTTCACTGCACATACCTTCTGCATCTGTTGGTCTGATTTGGCCATCTCTGCAAAGTAATCATCTGGCCTTCTAGTAGGAACTTTGAGTTTCCGCAGCCTAGGGAGGGCTTCCAGGACTGCTGCCTGAGCCTGGCGGTAGCTATGGAGACAGCACAACAGCAGCTCTGTCAGAGGGTACCAAGCATCACGCAGTGCTGATCTAAGCTCTCATCACATAAGATAGCTGATACTGGGATCTAACAAAAATTAATCTAGAATTATATCAACATTCATACCCTACAGCATTTAGTACTCCTAAGAGCAATTTAGGTTCTAGTACAATATTAATGCGGACATCTTCCGCACAGACATTTACCTAGTTTCCAGCTACAGTTTTATACACTGTATGAAGTGCATATCATGTATAAGCATGCTGACCCTAAAAAAAATCTCTTTTTTATACTTACAAGCTCATCTCTCTCTGAAAATCATTCTCAGGGTCCACAGCATCTTTGTCAGTAGTATTCTGTGAGACAGATTCCACAACGTTTGTAACCTGACCCAAAGTCACGTCCAGCCTTTCCACCCAAGCTAGCTGCTGCCTGAATTCAGCCAGGCACTGCTTCAAACCTTCCTGTGAAAAGGAAACACAGCTCTGAGCAACAAGACACAAAAACTACAATTCAAGCTCACCACAAACGAATATCCAGGTCACAAAATGGACTGCTCCTCAGTAGCAGTTTGGTCATCCCCCAATTTACCAGACCAATGCAGACCACCCACATCCCCTTCCCTGGCTCCTACCCCACCCCAGAGGGCTCTGGGTCCAGCATGACCCCAGCCCCACTGGGAGCTGCCCACCCCGCAGCCCCACTTGATACCAAGTCAGCAGGATGTATGGTTCTCTCCCTGATAGAATTATAGGGCCCAATTTGAGATGTCTTATGAACAGGTAGGCCAAACCTGTACCATGCTTAAATAGAAGCTTAGAAATTTAAGTGTAAAGGAGGACCCAGCCTTAAAGGATGTGTCTGAAAAGATGAGGTGAGGAGCCCATGGCATGGACGCGTGCTGGGACATGTCAGTGACTGAGCGCAGTGCATGTGTCTAAGGTACCTATCAGCAAACATCGGGAGGGCCCCAAAGACCACCACCAGCAGAAACAAATGATCATGTGCCAGGGATACTTGGATACCTTAACGGGTTTCAGGAAATAGTGTGGATATGTTGGTTATCTTGCTTTTTTAAATCGATTTTGATAGTAAACAACCCCGGTAGCCTGGCCAATTCGGCACGCACACATGGTGGAGAGATCCCCTGGGTGTCTGGCACCGCAATTACAGCACGCCCGATTTCTAAAACCCCAAATCCAGCCTGAAAGTTTCTTTGACCAGCTCTCCGGCCAACACGCTCACCACATCGTTGGGCTTCTTCGGCCGCGCCTCCAGCACCACGTTGAGCCCCGGCTTCAGCGCGCCCTTGGCGAAGGCCTCCTGGAGCTGCGGAGAGAACGGGAACAGGGTCAGGAGCGGGGCCAGGAGCGGAGCCGGGGCTAGGCCGCCCCGCGGGACCGGCTCCGGGCTCACCTCCGAGTCCGAGAGGGAGGAATCCTCCGAGCCGGAGTCCGAGAAGCCCTCACTCAGCTCCCCCAGCGGCGCCATCTTCTCACCGCCCCCTGCGGGCACGCGCTCGCCACCGCCCCTTCCGCCGGGGCCGCGGTTGCCGGGCCGACGGCGCCATGGCGGCCGCGGTGGCGGAGCCCGTCGCCGTCTTCGGCTGCCGGCCGGGGGTGGGCGGTGGCGTCTGCTTCGTGGGCGAGCGGGAGGTGCTGCACGCCGCCGGCACGGGCTGCGCCCGGCTGCACACCGAGCACGGGCAGCAGGCCTTCTTCCCAGGTGGCCCCGCTCCCCGTCCCCATGCCCGGTGCCGGTGCCGGTGCCCGCCGCGCCGTGCTGACCGCTCTCCTCCCCGCAGGCCGCGAGAAGAGCCGGGGCGTGCAGGCGCTGGCCGTCAGCCCCGACCGGCGGTTCCTGGCCGTGTCCGAGACGGCGGCGGAGCAGCCGGTGCTGACGGTGTACGAGCTGGCGGCGGGGCAGCCGCCGCGGAGGAGGAGAGCGCTGACGGCCGCCGAGCTCCCGGCGCGGGAGGCGCC